AACGGGATACGCTGGCGGAGCACCAGTGAAGGGGGATAGATGAGAATGAAAACAGGACATCAGGACATCAGGACTTAACCACGATAGCAATGGAGTTTGACAGCCCCATTGCTAGCAATATGCCCTATTAGGTCGACCTCCACGTGTTTCCCCCTGAAAACCATCGTGAACAATTCTTGTTGAATTCGTCACGATAGGCTAACTGACCTACTTCATTCACCTATCATCCTTTACTGGTGCCCCGCCGGTGTATACCGATAACGCGGGTGGGGTTACCATTCCATTATCACCGAAAAAAAAAACACAGTGACTAAGGAAGTAGTTTTATTATTTATTTATAAGGTAACAAACGTAAAAAAAGATACAAACGAATTGAGAACCTGCTTCTTTTTGAAGTCGGTTAAAAATAAATATCAAGAAACTAGCTAACGAACCTATTTCTAGATTTGTCATTTGTAATCAGTAGTTGTTATTGTATGTCAGATTCAGTTCCAATGTACTTAAGTAAATAATTTAATGTACTTAAGATTATCCAAAAACAGTTTATATTAGACATATCTTTTATAATAAAAACTGTCTATATTACAGAGGCAGACTTTGTACAAAAGTCGTTTGCTTGGCCAACTCTGTCCTATTCGTGTTTCTACCGTTAAGCACTTGTGTTTGCATAGCTGTTCGGTTTCGGTTTCGGTGTTTCGGTTTGAAGGGTAGGATATGGCAGTGAATTTACAGGGTACAGAGGAATAACACCTGAGTCCTCGGGAATGACAACGCATGGGGGGTATCATGGGCGAAACAGTATACTCTGTTATGTCCATGGTACTGCTCATGTCTATAGGCGACGGTTATCACTTCCCATTGGTGGACCGTCAGCTTATTTGCCATTCTAAGTTGAATAAAAAAATAAATAAAAAAAAATCACCAAATATTTCTATAACATCTTGTTTTGAACTGCAAATGCAAATAGAAATAGTGTATCAATTTATATTTCCATGCCATTCTAAGTTGTGTATAAAAAAAAAAGAAAAAAAAATCAATGTAGTGTGACTTAACACTTTATAAAATGGTCCATTACAATAAAAAATTCAAATCGAGAATCGAACTAACACCCCCGTGACCCGGCGCGTCATTATTCATATATGCATTGGCGCGATATCGAGCAGCGCATTATCCGGCGTGCGCTCGCATGTTTTATTCAAACCGCATCGAAATGTGTCCAGTATTATTGGCTTCAAACTCGTTACAAATGTCTGGACATTAGTAAGTTGTCAGTAATATGCTCACGAGTGTACCAGTTTTATTTACTTTGTGACTGTAACTACTACTATTAAAAGAATGTTTTAAAATAATTTAATGAAATCGTTTGTCGTGTGGTCCCGGCGTAGAATAGGCCACCCCTTCCTTTACCGTGGAATAAAGGAAACACTAGGTGTTATGCTGTAAAACACACAACACCTAATGTTTTCTTTTAGGGGGGAAAAGGATTGTTAGTAATGAGATTTAACAGCTCCATTGCTAACAGTATACCCTGTCAGGTCGACCTCCACGCGGTTCCCCCTGGAAATATAAGTGGTAAGGTATAAGTAAACATAGTGGTTGATTCTTGTTCAATTAGTCACTATGTGCTAACTAACCTGCCTTCATCCTCACCTGTCATCCTTCACTGGTGCTCCGCCAGTGTATACCGATAGCGCAGGCGGGGTTACCATTCCATTATCATCCATTAGAAAAAAAAATGTTCCTTTATCTGTCTTATGTAGTTATTACGCAGTCTTCCTCTCCCTCTTTTGCCTTCTATCTTTTAAAAAATCCATTAACAATCAAAATATTTTAAGTACACGCCCTAAATTGAACAAAATTTCATGTTATATAAATTATACCACGTCTCGAATGAGTCCACCTCATAATCACCCCATAACCGTTCATATAAATTGCCTACCAAAAGCATTCCGAATATCAGAACTCGATCTCGTAAACAATATCAACCCAGAAATATAATTGTTATTGCAAATTTCACCACAAATGAGATGCTTCAAAATAGCCGACTACCGTTAAATTTAATATAAATTAATGAGGATGTTTAAATTATATTTAACACATAAAAGTGTATTTTTCTAATTGAACTATCAAATTTTAAAATCATTAAACGAAATTTCTAATGTAAGTAGTATATTCATTTATTTTAGCATTTATTATATAAGTAGGTAGGTATTATATGTATTTATATGTATATTTGTTTATGCGTTAATAGTTGTAGCACTTCAGCTGCCCGCTAACGAAATGCTTTCTTACTGTATTGGGTTGACTGGATGAAATCTCTTCTAATGAGACTTTGTTAACATTGTTATTAACTTCTTGTTTTATTGCAATAAAGAAATGCAATAATGTGTGTGTGTATATATATATATATATACTTATTATTATGTGTATCTATTCTTAAAATTATTAAAGCGAAAATAAAAAGTTATATAAATAAGATATAAACCTGCAGTTATTACATTAAAATATAACGTGCGCTCAGGAAGCTTTTAACAAAATACATAATATGTAAATAAAAAATAAAAAATGTTCTCTGTGGACCACAAACAACTTAATTTTATTTTATTTTTAACTAGCGATCCGCCTCTGTTTCGCGAGATTTAAAAAAACTTATTGCCCACGTTATTGTATACAGTTGACAATGTAGCTTTCTATAAGTGAAAGAATTCTTAAAATCTTTTAAATATTTTTTAATTAATTGATTAATTTACTTTTAATTTATTCCATTCAAAACAATAATTCATATATTTCCTCCTTATAATATTATGTCAAAGACTTGTTTGTTTGACTATTGACTCTTGGTGCCTTAACATTTAGTGGTCACATAGTATTCGGGATAAAAAAAAAATAGACGACTTTTTATCCTGTTCAATCTAAATGTTTGGGTGACACGGCAAAAGTTGCGTGTAAAAACTAGTATAATTACAAAGAATTAAATCGTAACTTGTGTTCCTATTCATAGTTCAATTTTACCATATCGTAATGGAGTCCGCTAGCTGAAAGGAACGGAAACAAAGACCATTCATAAATCACTATGAAATTAAAGGTCTTTATCAGATTAGTGACCTGAAAACCTGTAAAATATGACCTCTGATTTTGACATTTGAAAATTTTCAACTTGTTTTTAGTAAGAAAGAACATTTCTCTTTTTATGGAAAGAAATTTGTACCTTTAAAGACATAAAATTTACTTACCTTCTTCTTATACATAAAAATATTAAACCTCTCAATAATTTGTTTTAGCTATTGCACTATTTTGTCTCTTTCTTTTGTGCTCAATTCTCAGTTTAAAAGAAAGTGACAAAACATTGTAACAATTTAAATAGGTTTGTAAAAGATTTTAGTTTTTATGAATGACTTTATTTCACTTGTCATAACTTTTTTTATTATTTATCCTTTTTATTATTTTTTTTTTTATTTTATATATTTTTTTATATTAAATTGTGTAGAAATAATAAAAACTATTTATAATGTAAATAGGCTATAATACATAGGTATTATTTAGTAGTATTTATTTTCAACCGACTTCAAGAAGAAGGAGGTTCTCAATTCTGATCTATTTTTTATATTTATCTCAACCAGTGGCGTAACAATAGGGTGGCAGGGCTGGCAGAATGCCACGGGCCCCCGACCCAAAAGGGCCCCGGCTCAAGAGGCCGCGAACTCAGAATTTTTTATTACATTGTACCTGAGTATTTTATTTTACGTGAAAAGTATTTTTTTTTATTGATAGGGCCCCATCAAAAGAATTTGCCACAGGCCCCAAATGGTATAGTTACGCCACTGCTCATAACTCCGTCAATCGTGAACCGATTAAAATTTTTTTTCTTTATCTGAAAGGATATACTTACAGACTGGTCCCAAAGAAAATTTTATTAAAATCGGTTCAGTGGTATAGTTTTTAAGCCAAAATAACTTTTTTTTAACAACACAGGAGGCAAACGAGCATGCAACTCACCTGGTGCTAAATGACTACCGCCGCCCATGGTCACCCACAACACTAACGGCATTGCAAGTGTACTGCCGGCCATTTAAAAAAGAATATGCTCTTTTCTTGAAGGTTATGTTATCGTATCGGTTCAGAAATACTGCTGCTGGAAGTTGACTCCAAAGAGTGTTTGTGCATGGAAAAAAGTGCCTTGAAAAACGCTTAATGGAGGACCGCCACTCGACCAGATGGTTGGGATGAATTTTTAGTTTATGGCGGGTTGTACGATGGTGAAAATCAGCAGCAGGTATCAATAACTGGTTTTGCCACAATACGAGTATGGTATCCAAAAATAATCGAGTAATAATTGAAATATAAGCATTTAATTTCTGTCCAGTACTCGTGTAATTTATAATAATTGTGTACACATTAATTGATATAACATACGTATTAAAATGTTGGTTTAATGTCTTAATTATTATAATTTTGGAATTCAATTAGCGATAATGTCAAAATATACTTACGTGTACACAAAATTGTATTTTCACCGTTGTGATTATCGTTTTTGAAATGTGTAAATCAGAATAATAAATATTACATTTTATGCCCTTAGCATGTACTTCTTTTTATAAATGACAAGCTTTTTCCCGCGACTTCGTTCGCGTGTTACCGGCGTGTGTTTTATCATCAGCATTTCAGCCATTATTCATCTACTGCTGGACATAAGCCCCTCTTCATAGACTGCCATAAAGAACGGTCCTGAGCCACCTGGAAAACACCCCCCTAGAGAGTAGATGGAGTGACGACCTGAAATACATTGCAGGGAGTCAGTGGATGCCGGTGGCTAGGGATATGTTTACTACCGGATAATTATATTTATTATATTATATCACATTTTATCTATTCTACATTTAGAAACATGTCTATTTCTAGTCTTATTGTATCATTCAATACTCTGTTGAATCAATAATATCTTCTTCAGTAACTATCTCGTATTATTTAGGTAAAGAAAAATAAATAAAAAAAAAAACAGATAAGTTTTTAAAAACATGTATTTCATTAAATGGCAACACAATGATGTCTGTACAATAACATTGGTTTCAAATATAAAATAATAAAACTTCAATGTTGATACAATTTAATAATAACATTAGATACGAGCTCATTTCTCAAAGTGCGTAGGCGATCAAGCTTTGTTCGCGATATAGTATTCCTAGCCATTCTAGATTTCACGTCCCACGTACGTACTACATCGATTTAATATAAAAAATAAAAAAACTATTCTCATATTTCAACACATATTCGTTCAATCACGACCCTTTGATTGATCGATTCAATCACATTTGATTTATCGATTCAATCAATCAAAAGGTTTATTTGCAGTAACACAACAGTGAGTAAACTTATTTGCTTTCATGAATCCATCTCTGTTTTTTGAATTGGTATATTTTATAATCATTTCAATTTTTTTTTATACAACTTAGAATGGTAAACAAGCTGACGGCCCACCTGATGGCAAGTGGTAACCGTCGCCTATAGACATGAGCTGTACCATGGACATAACAGAGTATACTGTTTCGCCCACGATACCCCCCATGCGTTGCCATTCCCGAGGACTCAGGTGTTATTCCTCTGTACCCAATAAATTCACGCCATATCCCACCCTTCAAACCGAAACACAGCCATGCAAACACAACTGCTTCACGGTTGAAACACGAATGGGACAGAGGTACCCAAGCAATCGACTTTTGTACAAAGTCTCCCTCTGGTAATATTATTATTATTAACTTATCAATCAAATTATCGATTCTTTTTTTTTTCAGAAATGTACAATATAAATTAAAATTACATAACTCGCATTACTGACTCGATGTCAGGGTTTTAAGTTGGTACCTATATTTTTAATAAGTGTCCCGATATTTGGAAAGGATACTTGTAAATATATATATATATATATATAAATACTGATATTAATTGCAGAGTTAAATAGTGTTGTGAATATGTGACAATATCTGTATGTTGGCGCCAAAGAAATATATTAAATATTGGTTGTCCATTATATTCAAAATTAGGCATCTGGTTTAAATGGTCTGGTTTAAATTAGGCGTCTGGTTTAAATGGTCTGGTTTAAATTAGGCGTCTGGTTTTTATCCGACTTCAATATTCAGACGTACTCAATATATATATATATATATCGAAGCGGTACCAATATTATCCATGCCTAGAGTTCAAGTCAAACATATGGTCATCCTTAGAGTAAGAATAAACACACTATAGTTTCGATGTCTTACGTGTCGCCCGTTTCTTTTATTAGATATAAAAAAAATATTTTATATCTTTCATATAGCTGAAATATGTTCAACGAAATACATTTTTAATTATATTTATAAGTATATTATGTATAAGTATATATTAAATTGTTATGAATGTTGTTAAACTATTAAACTTTTATATAACTTGGCAGTAGACTAATCGCACCGTGTATATAAATACTATTTATATTTATATTAAAATCTACAACCGTATTATATGTATTTATAAAAATCTATATAACCTTCCATAAACCTATTTTTCTATGATCTGTATTGTATTTTGTTATTTTTCCAAAAAGATACAGCATTATAAGAAACAAATACAAATAGAATTATTACAATAATTGAAATAGGTTTAAAGCAAGATTAAAGTTTTTAAATAATACTGGCATACGAGTAACACTTTTGTTGTAGACAACAGTGAAACAAATTTTCAGTTTTGTTTTAAGATAAATCTAAACATTGATCGAATGTAACTGAACTAAATATAATAATTAATCAATACATTTTTAAATAATTTACTATTTATATAAATGTACTGCGTCATTATATATATTTATTCATTTATTATTAGTAATACCAAATCTGTGGTAAAAAAGAAAAAAATAACAGGTAACTTAATAAAATAATACTAAATATTTAATACTTCTCTGTTCTTGACAATAACTATGAACTGGGGCGCATAAAATAGCAATGTGTTGACTCCTTACAAATGACAATTTATCAAGCTTTGTCAAAAGTTTACATAAAATATAACTTTCTGTGTTTTGTATCGCGCGCTAAGTTATTAACAGTCACGACTTTTAGGTATTTATCATAGTGGCAAACTTCTACTATTTAGTTTTGGAAACTGTCCCTTTTAAAGGAGAAAATAAAATGCAATTAATTCAATGAATCAATTAAATTGATCCAATATCTAATATTATTCCCGTAGCGGTATTCGTTTTTACACATGAAAGAAATAATTTAATAACTTCCCGCCATCTTGTCGTAAATAAAAATGGCGTATGTGCAAATTCCCTCCAAAAAAAAAACAAATAATTAAAGTAGCTAGTAATTAAATTGATCCAATATCTAATATTATTCCCGTAGCGGTATTCATTTTTACACATGAAAGAAATAATGTAATAATTTCCCGCCATCTTGTCGTAAATAAAAATAGCGTATGTGCAGTTTCCCTCCAAAAAAAAAAACAAGTAATTAAAGTAGCTAGTACGGTGTAAAAATTAGTTAGCTAAGCAATTTATGTAATTCGATTATTGCTTTTGCTTTTTTTTTAATTACTATAAAAAAAAATACATTTCGACAACTGGTTTCGCGAATATTTGAATCCATATAACACAATGATATTTTGAGCCGGTATCCGCAATTGGACGTAATTGCCTCCAACTTGCTGGCGTTTCGTCGGATGACCACAGAGTGTTTGTATTCAATGATTTAGGCTCTAATATTATTTCTAGATAATTTTTTTTTATATTATTCTTTTTACTGAGATGTATTGTTCTTTTTTTATATATATGTTGTTGTACTGATGCTTTCCTGGGTGAGCGTATTGGGAGACTGTAAAGCTTATCCAGTTGATGTAATAAATAAATAAATAAATATTTGGATTTGAATATCTGCGGATTATTTGTCTAGGCTGTGTGTTCCCATATTGATTATCTGTTACTTTTTATTCAATAAGCAATAGGTAAAATTTAACAACAATATACACATCGGTTTAGCCATAAGCATATTTTTTTCAAAATATATTTGAACTGTTATATATTGTAAAGATAAAAGATTTTATTTTTTGTATGTTTGTTATTAATGGATGAACTCAAAAAGTACTCAACTGATTTTAAAATAATTTCCTCTCTTGAAAGCTATAATACATTAACAGCAAATAATATGGGGTACATTTTATTAAAAAAAACAATCGTGCAAAGATAAGGTGGGTCAATCAATAATAAGAATAAGAATAAAAAAAAATAAACCAAAGACAATTTAATAAAATGCAAATCTTATTCGTACGAAGCTAAATCGTAGGCATCTGATTAATAAACGTAGCAGCTGTAATCAGAAGTTAGCGAAGTTTGTCCAGAACTCGTTTCACCGTCGTCGACTTGAAAAGCAAACTTGTTTGTACTTGGGAAATTATTTCGCTGAACTCCCAGCGTTAGATGCAATATGTACTTTCGCTAGAATACAAAATAGCAAATAGTGTTATGTTCATTTAAATAAATCCACATTAATATTTCAATGAACATATTTTATTGGGTTATATATATGAATTTTTTTTCGAAACAATATGATTATAGGTACTCAATTTGTAATGTTACTAATATAATAAAATTCTAACAATATGATGTCTGTACATGGGAGATATTTGAGAAAAATTATAATGAAGGGTCGTAATAAGAGCAATAGCCAAAACAATTTGTAGAAAATCTAATCTGTCTATATGTTTGTTCCGGTATAACGCAAAAACTATTGCACGAAATTGGATGCGGTTTCCACAATCGTATTACTTAAGGTGCAATTTAAAATCTGGTGTGTGTTTTATCTTGATACACTATCTAGCAGTAATCTATTTTATGGATTTATTTTTTTGAAATCCAGGCATACGAAGTAGCAGGATAACAGGCAAAATGCTAGAACCATTAAACAATAATATAGTGTCTGTTTTTTTTTTTTTATACAACTTAGAATGGCAAACAAGCTAACGGCCCACCTGATGGAAAGTGGCAACCGTCGCCTATAGACATGAGCAGTACCATGGACATAACAGAGTATACTGTTTCGCCCATGTTACCCCCCATGCGTTGCCATTCCTGAGGACTCAGGTGTTATTCCTCTGTACCCTGTAAATTCACGCCAATATTTCTTTCTTCTTATTTGTTATTCTGTATATAAACCGTAATGCTTTTTAATATTCTCAATCGGTAGAATTAGGAATACTTGTACAATGAATAAATAAAGGAATGAAAAAATAAAATACTTATTTTTTTCTTTGTTGTCTTTATCTAATATTAGTAGATAAAGACAACAAAGAAAATATACGGTTTACGCCATCAACATTTAATATTTTAAATAGTTATTTTATTTATTTAACTCTTACTGAAGATTAAGTTAAAAAGTAACCAAAATAAATATTTCAAAGAAATCCAAATTCACTTGAAGGGCTTTAAACTATGATTTTAGACTTTACTAAAAATTCTTTGATAGTATAGTTTCTTTGTTATCCTTAGTATTTAATAAGTGTTTAATAATTTTTCATTTCTTCTGTTATAATGTCATATTAATGTCAATTAATTCACATTCAGTGCATATACAGTACAAATAATTTCTACGGCAACCATTTTTACAGTAAAATACACTAGTGGAAAAAATTAAGGGATCAGAAAAAAATGCCATATTTTTAAAGTTTGCTTCTTTGCATAGTTTGATACGACCACTCCTCGCTGAGATATCGAACTTTGAATGAAAAAGGATCTTTTTGTCTTTAACCACCAATATCTCGGCAACCGCTGATCACACAAGGAAATTAAGAAGGATTTTGAAATCTTGAATAAATAAACGACTATTTTTAAAGAAAATACAGCAACTTGAAAAACCTCAAAAAAATTGTCATTTTTTTCTGATCCCTTAATTTTTTCCAATAGTGTGGAAAAAATTACGTTGTGTCTTCTACAAGGTCCCTTATGGTATGGTTATGCGGTGAACGGACATTACATATTTTAACACTTCTATGTCATCTTACTCATCTTTAACATTCTGTTCTCTTGTATTTTTATATATTAATTTAAACACCAAATCATTATCTATAACATTGTCATAACAATAAATATTTCAGATTATTTGGAAATTATTTTATCAAATTTATCAAATTTATGTAGCATTATAAATTTTAGACCATGTACCAGTATGAAATGCTAATTCTACCGCAGATACTGGGTCAATTATAACATAAGGATCAATCAAAATAATTTACCATATTGTGACTGTAAATATCATTACACAAAACTTTCCTTGCTCTTAAAGTCGTATACAAATATATTCTTGTTCTCGTTATCCAGTGCTGGTACACATACAAATCTATTTTTACCTTCACTCCCATCGCTTACATCTAGTGTTATAGAATATACGTTATTAGTCTTAACATCTAAGTTTAATATTTGTATTTGCTTATTGTTCTCAGTGGCAGTGGAAGTTATTGCTTCATCTATATTTTTCTCGTGATGGTCATGTATTTCTACTTGTATATCGTCGTTCATGGCTGCTATTATTTTCATACTATTACGTCTTGTGTTCTGTACGTTAACTATTTCGCCAACTTTCATTTGTTGCACATTAGTGTCTGCCATCTCTTTTATTCTCTTACTTTCGCGACTAACTATATTTTTTTGTGAGGACGCTCGATTACTGTATCTCCTCCAAAAAGAATCAGATGTGTTTTGACTACTTGAAAAACCGGTTGAAGTGGTTGTATTAAATGTATCTCTCCTTTGCATGTTCACTCTTAAATTCCTACCGCATCTCATTAGCTTATTTATTTTTAACAATTTTATGAAACCCTCTCTAAATTTTGATGACATCAAATTGTATAATATTGGATTTATCGCCGAATTTAAATATAGCATTACTCTACAAAAATACAAAAGTATATAATAACCATCTATACCTAATGACATTATTGTCTCCGGTGGGAATACAATGATCCATAAAGTTAACGCTTTAAATGGTAACAGACATACAAAGAATGATAATACTACAGTACCTAACATTAGGATGACCTGTTTTCGATATCGAATTACATTGCCGGTGTTGCTAGTGTTTTTCGTGTTCTGCGCTATTATGACGGGGTTCTCCATGAGATTTTTTGCAATGACACTGTAGAGGACTAGAAGAACTCCTAGAGGTACAATGAAGAAGACTGCTATGGTGAGGATGAAGAAGAGCGCAGACCAGAAGGTGTCGGCTTGCGTTAGGCAGACCGGTACTTGCGTGCCGTCTTCGTATTCTTCATGGGTGAAGGTAGCCACAGCAAGGATGGGGCTGCGGAAAAGAAAACACAATTAAAATCTTCATTTATATTACAGATATGAAAGTGAGTATTGTTTTTTGCCTGTTACCTTTTAGTGCTTTAATGGCTTAATCAAACACTAGAGTTTGGTGTACAAGCACTATACGAGATCCAGAAGGGCATACCCTTCCTAATAGAAAACATACCCCGATCATGTACACGAAGTTGCGGATAATATTAAGATAAAAATCTATAACTTCCATTCATAGGTCTATACTCAAATCCACATAGATATTGTAACTAACACTGGTCACGTGATTTTATCGCGATTTTTTTTTAATTATTCTCAATTTTACCTTAGTGTATAACACATTATTTATTTGGTCATTTTTTACATCATACATCATATCTCGGGAATAAACAAAAGTAGTGACACCTGGTGGCATATAAGTATTCTTAATTGATTCCCACGTGATTAATTACAATAAGTCTATTCTATTAATAAAAGTCTAATCTTACTTCTTCTTACTATTATAGTGACCGTTTACCATCAGACGGGCTGTATGCTCGTTTACCAAGTTTTTGGTATTAAAAAAAATATATTGATTATTTTCTACTAAATCGAGGATGTAACGATGGGCTTTATATAAAGTATATTTTTTATATTAACAGTTTTGTTATGACCCGTAATACATAGATATTTGTATTAGCTGTATCCCAAGGCTTTGCCTGCGTGATTCAGTAAGTGCATAAAGTATCTTATATGCTAAATTAGGATATAAAATAACTATGTACTAAATTTTATTAAAATCTCTTCAGTAGTTTTTGTGTGAAAGAGTAACAAACATCCATTCATCTATCTTTCACGTTTATAATGTTAATAGGATTATACTAACTTTATTTTTTGTCAATTTTATATATAGTTTGATTTGGTACCTGTATCTTTAGTAATTCGACTGTCATTTTGCCTTGAAGTTAGTGTCGCATGTCGTGATTTATACAAATTGTTCCAAATTCAATTGCTCACTGAGGAATTTCATTTTAATCTTTGCAGTGAGTTTAAATTTAGAATAACAGACTTGGTAATTTAACGGGCGCTCTTAAAAGTGATAAATGTACTATCAGATCTATTTGAAAATATTGAAAAGTAAATTTTGAAGATATAAAATTAAAGCTGAAAGTTTATTATAGGTAGATCGAATATTTCAAAATCTTTTGAAATCCTTGCTCTGCCCTTGGAAATCTTAATGGACAGATTGAAAAGGAATTACTGACTACTCAGTTTGGTAGGATTCGAACCTATATTTCATAGCTACATATAATACAATAAGTTACATATAATAAAAACAGACCAAAATAGGTGGTAATTACCACATTAGGGGGGGAATGGATTGTTAATAATGCGGATTGCCAGTCCCATTGCTAGCAATATACCCTGTCAAGTCGACCTCCACGTGGTCCCCCTTGGAAACCATCGTGCTAAATTCCAGGTGTTGTCATCACGTTGGGCTAATTGACCTGCCTTTCGATCCTCACCCATGAATACACCTGGAAATTAAGACGATGGTTTTCAGGAGGGACTGCGGGAAGATCAACCTGACCTGACAATATACTCTATTGTCCCTTCACCCCATAAAGTATCTAGTAATTATGCAATAATATGTAAAGAACTGAAGATTCACAATCCCGTACAAAAGTTAGCCTTAAAACTGACTCGAATTTAAATTGATCAAAAAAAATAATCAATAAGGTAAAAGAGATAGAGAAATGGAGTAATTTACATTTTTTACAAAATTTATAATAATATTTCAATAAGTTTGATTTTTTTTAGTACGTTTGTTCCGTTATGGAACAGGCTAAGGTCGGAAACCATACTGCCTAGTCTTCAATGTAATAATTTGTCTGAAATTTTATTTTTTTAAGTGAAAATAGCTTTGAAACATGAAGGAAATCTTAAGAGGTGCGGAACAGTAAGTTTGATTACAAATGTCATTAAAGGGTAAGAAATTAAGTTTTCGTGTTTTTTTTTTATTTTGCAGTTTTTTTTTTATTTAAATGTACGAGGAGAAAAATAATAACTTGTAAATTCAGTGCTAACCTTAAAGGAACACTAATACAGATTATCAATTTCTGTAGAGTACCTACTTAAACCTTCGCGCCAGTCACCAGCTCTCGTGATGCCGTGATCTGGCGCAGTGAACCCTTCGTGTATGCATCCATCCACGGTGCATGCTACTGTTGTGACGTTAACAGTCATGAGAGTGAAAGACCTCAACTAGGTATATAAAGTAGGTACTGCATATTGTAATAACATCGTTGTAATAAATAAGTAAAGAAATGGGCAAATAAACGAGTGAATAAATGTGTAAAGTAAATAATTCAATGTAAGTTTGTACGAGTCCTCTAGATTTTTTGTAGATGAGAATGGAATGATGCCTAATGACAATAGTAATTCACCAATGAAGGATGATACGATGAAATTGAAATCGGGTGAATTAGACGTCGGAAGTTCTTTAGGAATTAACCATGACGATTCTAAGGGAATCATTACACATTGCATGAAATTTCAGAAAAAAATATCTAATATTCCGTTATAACTCCTGGGGGTGTTTTAACGCTACCTAATGTTTTAAGATTTTATGCAGGGTTGCCAGATGCGCTTTTTTGTTTTATTTTGAGTAGTAAGTAATTGTGATAATACATTAAAGTTTTGTCCATATTCTGAAGTTTTTATACGTTTAATATTTATTTCGCGTAATAACTGACAGTTGAGAAATAACATCCGTGACATTCAGTAGGAACGTTCGTGTATCAGTGAATACTAATACTTTGTCACGCGATGGATTGAATGGGTATATTTAGGTCGGCTTTAAAAAGACAAAACATTTGTATAATGGAGTTATTTTGTCCAAAACAGGTATTATTTTGTCTTCGTCTTAAGAGTTTCCCGAGTCCTCAGGAATGGCAACGCATGGGGGGTATCATGAGCGAAACAGTATACTCTGTTATGTCCGTGGTACTGCTCATGTCTATAGGCGACGGTTACCACTTTCCATCAGGTGGGCCGTCAGCTTGTTTGCCATTCTAAGTTGTATAAAAAAAATGTTTCATTTTTGGCTTATACACTTGACGGATTTGGAACAAATTCTAAATTAAAATGTTCGATTGAATACGTTTTAAAATCACGAAAAAGCGGTATTTAATTCAATTTATTTATGCACGTTATATTACCACGCGATATCATTTATTTATTTATTTATTCATTAGTACAAATATGTGTACATGGCGGACTTAATGATAAAAGCATTCTCTCCCAGTCAACCATAGGGAAGTGTCAGAATACTCGAATGCGGTACTAGTAATTATTGATATACATACATACTAAAATTACATATATAAACGAATAAATATATATAAGTAACAAATATACTTACACATATATAAAATATACTATATTATACGCGAAATTGAGAATAATATAAAGTACTAGCATTGGCGACTGAATGCAATTTTAATAACTAATTTAAACTCATTGTATACGGCTTAGTTCTATGCTTAGATTATATAGATAGTGTATCCATACAATTGCTTCGAGAAAAGCGGCTCAACTTTTTCATACAATTTTGCGTGATAAATAGTTATAAGTGATTCCTTTATAAATACTATGTTTATTTTGTCTTATAATTTTTACATCTTTTCAATGCGTAAAAACTCATTTAATTTATTAAAGAATTAAATATAAGATACGACAAAATTGTGTGCGTAAGCACATAGAACATTAGTAAAAAAAGCGAGTCAGCTAATTGTCGAATTAATTGACAAAAAGTTGACCCATTTTGAGACTCGATGCTTTATTTATAAAATCTAAGGTTTTATATTAAATTTCTAAAGTTTTAATCAGATGTTTTTTTAATAAAATATATTACAGTATTTCTATTTGTCAATTAAAGATTTTTTATCTATAATGGCAATTACGTATAATTTCGTTATCACTATGGCCAACTATGGCTGATTCTTTTAATAACAGAAAGAAATGCTACAGATAAACTGTCTGATGTCGCCATTTTGTTTTAATTTCCCTAGAGGGTACTAAAGAAATATACTTGAAGGAGATAAATCTATATGTCCCTTATAAAAGTAAATGGGTCGTATGAAATTATTTCCTTTTTTCATTTCAGACGTTTAAAAAAGGGATATATTTTTCCAATAAAAAAAAAAATATTTTTATTTATGTCGATGTAATATGTAAAATTGATTTCAAAATTTCTTTACCTTTTTACAAGAAAAAAATAAGTTGACCTTTTTATAATTCCATATATTCTGAATATTTTGTTCAACCAACTTCAAAAAACAATTTTCATGTTTGTTACCTCATATCTTCGTAATTTTGAATAATTCTTTTCTTATCTGAAAGAATATACTTTTAGATTGGTTAAACACAAAAATTTTATAAAAATCGGTTTACTAGTTTAATTCTTAAATGTAAGTAACTAGTTATGCTATGATTGGAATAGATTATTTATATAGAACCAAATTTTAAATTATTTTATGTATATTTATGTGGCCGGGAGCACACCTGCAATGCCGTTGGTGTCCATTGCTAGCAATATACCCAACCAGGTCGACCTCCTCGTGGTTCTCCCTAGAATCTAACATGGTTAATTCCTGATGAATTCATCATGATGGGCTAACTGGCCTGTTTTCATTCTCATCTATCACCCTTCACTGGTGCTCCGCCAGCATATACCGTTAGCGCAGGTGGGGTAACCATACCATATTTACCCATAAAAAAAAATGCCGTTGGTGTTGTGGGTGATCATGAGCGGCGGCAGTCACATACCATAAAGTGAGCTGCATGCTCGTTTGCCCCTATATATATATATATAATTGAAAAATTATATTATGAACCATAAGAAATATTAATTCATAATGATTCTTATCTTCACCGATTACTTTGTTTTATATCCAAGAATAGGCTTCAAATATGTATTCCTTGTAAATATCAATGATTCTTACTTACAATGGCAAATCG